CCTCCCCTCTCTTCTCCTCCCCTGTCTTCTTCTCCTCCCTCTCCTCTTCTCTTCTCTTCTCCTTCTCCTTCTCTTCGTCGTCTTTTCTTTTGTTTCTTCCCTCTTCCCCTTGGCTTCCACATTCCTGCATATCAGATTCTAGTTGACGGTACGATGCGTCTGGTTGTCCCCGTGTGTTCCTTTGATGGCTTTGTTATTGAAGTCTTGTTTGGTGCCGTTGGATCTTTTACCTCGTCCTTTTAGAGCTTCCTTCCTCCTCTTTCTTTACTCCTTCTTCCTTCCTCCTCCTTCTTTACTCCTTCTTCCTTCCTCCTCCTTCTTTACTCCTTCTTCCTTCCTCCTCCTTCTTTACTCCTTCTTCCTTCCTCCTCCTTCTTTACTCCTTCTTCCTTCCTCCTCCTCCCCCTCCTCTTTCTTCCTCCTGCTGGTGAAGATCTTGGTCAACTAGAGCCATAACTAGTGTGGGGTCAACAACCAGAACCATAACTAGTGTGGGGTCAACAACCAGAACCATAACTAGTGTGAGGTCAATAACTAGAACCCCCAAGAACAAGGAACCAGGAAGAGAGAGACAAGTTCAGATGTTGTTGAGGTGTATTGACCACTCAAGTTCTGTCATGAGTCACAGTAACTTTTATCAAATATCTTATTGACAACTGAGAGATAAACGAACACCCAAACACACAGACGGACGCACTCATGAACAAACACGCATTCACACATTAAAAGTATTATTAAAGTTGAATAGTAACACAAAGAAATGATAATTATTAGAAGCTCACACAAGTAACACGTAAATATGTGTAATTTATATTTAAAATTAAAATGTTGTTACAATAGTGTCATTAACGTGATCCTGAATTAATAGATCCCACCAGGTCATTGTTTACTGTGATATATACAGGTTATATTATATTAAGTAGTGTATATATCTGTGATGACGGGAGTATTGTTGACACGTTACCAAGTGACTATGTTCCTGTTTGTGTGTATGTTGGTTGGTGCTATTATTCACCCTACACGTGTATACACATGTGTAGTCATAGCTTGTATTAACACCTTCTCTGTGGACGCTGTTGATTGGATGTCTTGTCTTAACAGGATTATCCAATGAGCGTCGAATTGTGTTTGAAGATGGTGCCCTGAATATTATCTATGTCATGGTGTGTGTGTGTGTGTGTGTGTGTGTGTGTGTGTGTGTGTGTGTGTGTGTGTGTGTGTGTGTGTGTGTGTGTATGCGTGTGTGTGTGTGTGTGTGTGTGTATGTGTGTGTGTGTAATCAACGAGCGCCCCATGACGTTCCAAGTCCCACTGAATCACTCACGTCATGCCTTCTTCATCAGTGCATACGCCCCAACACTGAATGCAGAGGATGACATCAAGGAGGCCTTTTACGCCGACCTTGACAGAGTGCTAACCTCTATCCCCAGATAAGGTGGTGCTCCTTGGTGACTTCGATGCCAAAGTTGGCAGAGATGCTGACATTTTGCTCGGAATCATAGGGATAAATGGAATAGGCAGGTGTAATCCCAACGGCCTACTCCTCCTTAGCAAGTGTCCTACACACAACCTCACTGTCACCAATACCTTGTTTAGGCAGGCCGACAAGTTCAAGGGTTCGTGGCAACACTCGCAATCCAAACACTGGCATCTCACTGACTACAATATTGTCAGAGAAAGAGATCGTAAGATGCCCTCATCACCTGAGCCATGCGTGGCTAAGACCAATGTGACACTGATCATTGGCTCGTCAGAGCCAAGATCTCACTTCACGTCGCCCCAAAACGGTGAAGGCAACAAGCCTCCAGAAGAGGTTTTAATACTAAGCATTTGGAGGATCCAGTGGTTAGCACACGCTTTCAGATAGCAGCCACCAAAGAAATGATTCGGGATATGACTCGCCTCATAATCGAGTACACTCAGGATTGCTTCCTTGCCCCTTTAGCTCTTCAAATACTGGCAATAATACCCCATCTATTCTGTCAGAGGACACACGCAAGGACTAAGTGCAAAGAAAATGTGGCAGCAATGAAGAGAAGATTGGCAATGTGGCAGAATGGGGCCCTTGATGATCTCTTACGTGAGGCAAGAACACTGCAGGAGAGACTAAAATTCATCAGAGACAGAAAGCAAAACACCGAGGATTTTGCCAGAAACTTTGGTAACAAGATGCGTGTGGGGAAAGTGTCTTTGGCGGTAAGATCTCTCACAGAGGAATCTTCCGGTGGTGTTCTGCCAATAAACAGAGAGACATTAAAACAACTGAAGGAAAAGTGAAGACGAAGGCATCAGGTTCCAGGGTGACTCTATCCCACCAAATGCTGTCCTGTTCAAGAAAATAACAGGAGGGATGGTGTGGAAAAAGGCACTGAAGACTCGGGGAGGTGCCGGCCCTTCAGGTCTGGACGCAGACTGTTGGAGAGTCATCCTCAGCACTAACAAGTTTGGCGCCGTGGCAAGTGATCTCTACAAGCCACCGCCGCCCTTGCAAGAAAGCTAGCAACCTCGTGCTGTCATCAACTTCATGCTCTGACGGCCTGCCGCCTCATTCCCCTGGATGAAAATCCAGGATGTAGACCAATAGGAGTGGGGGAAGTGCTGAGGCGTATGATTGGAAAATGCATTATGGAGGTGGTAAATGATGATGTCAGGGCAGCTGCAGGGAACCTGCAAGAATATGCTGGCCACCAGGCCGGGTGGAAGCTGCCATTCACGCCATGAGAAAGATATTTGAGCAGCGTGATTGTGAGGCAGTACTTCTGGTCGACGCTTCCAACGCATTCAACATAATCAACCGCAAAGCTACACTGCACAACACCAAGCCTTGCAGTGTATGTTGAAAACACCTTTATTGTATACCATGTTGTACTACTGCCCAGGCGAGCTTAACTGCATGACTGTACAGGAGAATCCCGGGAGGTTTTGCACACACATGAACAGTATTTTCTTCTCTTACAACACAAAGAAAAAAAATAGAAGAGGAAGACAATTAACAGAACTTAACTATTGTAATTTACAACTATAATTGAGGATGTAAAGACAATTAAATATTTTTGAAGTTTAGAACATAATCACCCAACGTTACCTGTCTTGCTAAGGTGTGGACTAATTAACTGTATACAATTTTAACTTTCCGTGTATGATGTAATTTTTGTGGGTATTAAGTATGATTTATTATTATTATTATTATTATTATTATTATTATTATTATTATTACTATACCCGCCTCTTTCTCTCTCTCTCTCCGGGTTCAGTCCAATACCTGTGAGTCATATTTCAGTGTGGAGTTTCATCGTTCAGTTTCAGGACTTTCAACCCCTAGTAATTCAGTCCCCAAACTGATTTAGACCCCAATAATTCACCCCCACTCAACCAACCCAGTCATTCAACCCCACTCAGCCCCCAGCCTCCCTCTCCAGCATCAAAGCCCTACAGGAGTTTTAGATTAGTGACTCATGTAAGAGGGAACAGTCTCTGATGTCTTTGACTTTAGTTAGAAGGATTTACCTGTATATTGCTGAAGGTAGATTGCTCTTGTTATTATTGTTATTGTTGTTATTGTTGGTATTGTTATTTTATTGTTATTGATTTTGTTACTGTTGTTGTTATTGTTGTTATTTTTATTATTGTTCTTATTGTTTTTTATTGTTATTGTTGTTGTTATTATTGTTATTGTTGGTGTTATTATGGTTATTGTTGTTGTTATTGTTATTGTTGTTATTATTGTTGTTGTTGTTATTGTTGTTGTTATTGTTATTGCTGTTATTATTGTTGTTGTTATTATTGTTATTGCTGTTGTTATTATGGTTGTTGTTATTGTTGTTGACATTATAGTTGTTATTGTTGTTGTTATTATTGTTGTTGTTATTATTGTTGTTGTTATTGTTATTGCTGTTATTATTGTTGTTATTATCGTTATTGTTGTTATTATTGTTATTGTTGTTATTATTGTTATTGTTGTTATTATTGTTATTGTTGTTATTGTTATTATTGTTGTTATTGTTGTTGTTGGTATTATTGTTATTATTATTGTTGATATTATTGTTGTTGTTATTATTGTTGTTGTTATTGTTGTTGATGTTATTGTTGTTGTTATTGTTATTGCTGTTATTATTGTTGTTGTTATTATTGTTATTGTTGTTATTATTGTTAGTGTTGTTATTATTGTTATTGTTGTTATTGTTGTTATTGTTGTTATTGGTGTTGTTGTTGGTATTATTGTTATTATTATTGTTGATATTATTGTTATTGTTATAATTAAGAAGCAATCATTCTACCTGTGTTTATTTATTAATTGAACACCTAATCAAACCTAATCTAAGCTAACCTAAGCTAACCAAACCTAACCTAACTCACCCCGAAGCGTAAGAGTGGTAATGGTCAGCTAAAATAACTTGGGGGCTTATCTTCAGGTGATAATTAAATTTTTTACTTGTGATCACCTCTATTATGCGGGGCACAACACCTGACCTGTGTGTGATCCATACTGATGATAAAAAAAAAATTGATAAGAATGATAAGAATGATAAATAATAAAAGTAATGACAATAATAATAATATAATAATAATAATAATAATAATAATAATAATAATAATAATAAAAATAATAATATTAATAATAATAATAATGACAATAATAATAATAATAATAATAATAATAATAATAATAATAATAATAATAATAATAAGTATAATAATAAAATCAGTCTATTTCTCTTCGTCTTCCTACGCCATAATTGCTTCCCCCTCTTTCCTCTCCTCCTCCTGCTATCAGACACAACTATCAGTCCACTTTCCTACCATCTATCATCTCTTGAAAATCAGTGAGTTTTATATCCAATTACAGCCATGACAACAAATCCGTCTCTGTGATTGGTCAAAACCCACCCTCTTGTGATTGGTCCAAACCCGTCCACAATTGTTCATACCTCACGTCTGATTGGTTTCATTGGCCATCTTTACACGTGATTGGTTGGTGGGTTTCCTGGAGCATTGCTGTGGCGTCTGGTAGGGGTCAATCTAGGGGTCTTGTTTTCGTCTGATTATTACAGGTGAAGGTGTTCAGTAATCCTGTTCCTGGATTGTCTGACTCTCTACCCAAGTTAAGGTGAGATTAAGGGTTAAGATTTGGTGAGGTTAAGGTTAGGTTATGTTAAGGTTTGACTAAGTTAAGGTTTGGTTAGGTTAAGGTTAGGTTTGGATTGGTTTAGTTAGGTCCAGGTTTGGTTTGGTTTGGCTTGGTTAGGTTAGGTTAGGTTAGGTTAGGTTAGGTTAGGTTAGGTTAGGTTAAGGTTGGCAGCAAAACGAAGTAAGATTAAATTACTTATTTGTTTGTCTACAGAAGGCATACACGTCCTGTCCTTGTCCTTGGTCAGCAGACACCGAGCCTCCGTCCTTGGTAGCCCCTAGACACGCCCCTACCCGAGGTCATGTCTGAGAAAGAGCCAACCGACAAATCTGATACCCAAAGACATTTATGTAAGGAAGAACCACCACTACCACACCCAAGCACCCACCTGGAGAAGAACAGTCCTAGTGTCGACGATGGAACACAGCAGCAGGGGGAGACCTCCTTCACCCCAGAGGTAAATGTGGGTCGTTCTAATTCACTTTCTTTGTATATCATTATATATATTATCGATACTTTGTAGTTTATATAATATTTATCACACTGTTGTTTTAGCCATGTGTGTGTGTGTGTGTGTTTTATGGACGTGAAGATGAGGGTATGGTTGTGGGTGAGTTACGTTGTTAAAGACAATCCCAACCCTTACTAGAGTGTAGTGTCAGCCCTCCTGTGTATAGTGTCAGCCCCTCCTGTGTATAGTGTAAAGCCCCTCCTATGTGTAGTGTCAGCCCCTCCTGTGTATAGTGTTAGCCCCTCCTGTGTATAGTGTCAGCCCCTCCTATGTGTAGCGTCAGCCCCTCCTGTGTATAGTGTCAGCCCCTCCTGTGTATAGTGTCAGCCCCCTGTGTAGTCGTCAGTAGTGTCAGCCCCTCCTGTGTATAGTGTCAGCCTGTGTATCGTATCAGCCCTTCCTGTGTATAGTGTCCCATCCTGTGTGCAGTGTCAGCCCCTCCTATGTGTAGTGACAGCCCTCCTACTTGTAGTGTCAATCCCTCCTATGTGTAGTGTCAGCCCCTTCTGTGTATAGTGTCAGCCCCCTGTGTCACGACAGCCCCAGCCCTCCTGTGTATCGTGTCAGCCCCTCCTGTGTATCATGTCAGCCCCTCCTGTGTATAGTATCAGCCCCTCCAATGTGTAGTGTCAGCCCCTCCTGTGTATAGTGTCAGACCCTCCCATGTGTAGTGACAGCCCTCTACGTGTAGTGTCGACCCCTCCCGTGTATAGTGTCGACCCCTCCTGTGTGTAGTGTCAGCCCCTCCTATGTGTAGTGTCAGCCCTCTATGTGACCCTCCCGTGTATAGTGTCGACCCCTCCTGTGTGTAGTGTCAGCCCCTCCTATGTGTAGTGTCGACTCCTCCAAAGTGTATAGTGTCAGCCCCTCCTATGTGTAGTGTCAGCCCCTCCTATGTGTAGTGTCGACTCCTCCAAAGTGTATAATGTCAGCCCCTCCTATGTGTAGTGTCGACCCCTCCTATGTGTAGTGTCAGTATAGTGAGTGTTAGTCAAACCAAATCTATCTAAAACAGGAGAATGGCATCCAATCAGTGCTGCAATAAAAGTGGAGGCACTTTGGATAAGCCTATCATGACCAGTACACCACACGCCTGACACATCAACACATGGTAACGGGAGATACAGAGGCCAATCATACCCATGTGAATAATGATAAGGCCACAGCACCGACCAGCTTACCGCGATAAGCACAACACACCCCTGTGACTCCCAACCACACGGCAATAGGTTACCCGTGAGTCAATGCCAGAGTGTGACCCATTAGGCGAAATGAATTACTGTGGTAGGAATTGTATCCATGTCTTGTTTATATCTAGGTGTCAAAGGTTCATTCAGTTAACTAATAAATAGCTGTAGTTGTTTAGAAGATTCTCCCCATGAACATAATTAAAAAGAGTTAAATAATAACTATTGGGCCAGGCTACCAACTTTCCTCACTTTGCAATCACTCCTACTAAAACTCTCACTATATCTTCGTAATGGTGCCAATCGTATCCATTGCAATAGTGCCAGAAGTCATTACATCAGAACCCCTCCTCCTCCCCTCGTATGTGTAGTGTCAGCTCCTCCTATGTATAGTGTCAGCTCCTCCTATGTGTAGTGTTAGCTCCTCTTATGTGTAGTGTCAGCTCCTCCTATGTGTAGCGTCAGCTCCTCCTATGTGTAGTGTCAGCTCCTCCTATGTGTAGTGTCAGCTCCTCCTATGTGTAGTGTCAGCTCCTCCTATGTGTAGTGTCAGCTCCTCTTATGTGTAGTGTCAGCTCCTCCTATGTGTAGTGTCAGCTCCTCCTATGTGTAGTGTCAGCTCCTCCTATGTGTAGTGTCAGCTCCTCTTATGTGTAGTGTCAGCTCCTCCTGTGTAGTATCAGCCCCTTCTATATATAATGTCAGCAGCTAAGCAACATCTCCTTCGTTTGCAGCCTAGCACTAAGCCTCAAGAGTGTACTATACGCCACCAAGAATACGACAGTGGTGAACGTCAGCCTCGTAACCTCCCCTGCGGCCACACTGTCTGCTCACACTGCGTCGACCACCCCAGAGACAGTGCCGGGGCTGAGTGTTACGAGTGCCACCTACAACACGAAGACAATACCGTTACGCAATTCATGAAGAAGATAAACCTCGACTCAGTCACTTCAAGTTCGAGTGTTATCTCTCAAGATTTGATTACGGTGATTGGACCCATCAAGGAGAAACAAGTTGGCTCCCTCACCCACCTCCTCACAAGGCAAGATAATATGAGAAGTCAACTGGATAATTACAAGTCACAGGTCAATGAGTGGAAGTCACAGCTCATGGACACTGCACAGAAACTTGAGAAACAGGTCAAGGAGGCACTGCAGGCGTTGGAGGAGGAAGAAGAAGAGGTTAATGACTTCAACGTTTCAGGGAAGATCATTGGAAGGGATGTCAAGAGAACGTTGATTATTCTGAACAAAAACAAAACTCCAATCCAGACTCTCATAGAGATAGAACGTGCTGAACGCCATCATCAAAACCTGAAGGTGTGGATGACGAAGTTCTCTCAGGTGTTTCCGTGTCCGAGTGCCGTCGTGAACACAGTCAAGGTGAGGGAAATGGTATGATCCTTCCCTATAATATTTCCACGCTAATCTGGCCCGGAAGCCACGCCCCTTTTATATACTAATAGCTGATTGGTTCAAAGAAAATTTAAAGCAAATTATCTGAACTATTAAAATGCAAGTGATTTCAATGCATTAGCACTTCAGAGATGATGTTAGAAAATTTGAAATATTTATCATAAATGTTCGATATACCTGTAAATACGAGCTTGTACACGCGTAGTCCGGGGGGAGGTAAGGCGCTCAGGGGAACCAATCAGCTATTTGAATCTACAGACGAGGGGCGTGGCTTATGGGTCAGGTGTCGTGTCGTGACCCTCAGGCATATAATATGGAAATTGGATCACCTGAAGATTAACCAACCCGTTTTATTTCACCTGATAATTAAAGATCCTAATGCTTACCTCACCAAATTTAACCAAACTTAACAAGTTACTAACCTAACTTACTAGAAACTAACCTAACCTACCAAACCTAACCCAACACTCCAGGAAACGTTAAGGTGTCTAATCTTCAGGTGATACAGAACAGAACAAAAAAATAAGGAGTCTGCAATAGGCCGGTTGGCCTGTGCATGGCAGCTCCTGTCGAGAGTTACTACCACTCTCTATCATCCATGAATCTATCTAGCCTCCTTTTAAAACTTTCCAGCGTTCCAGCACTTACTACAAAGTTTCTAAGCTTGTTCCACTCGTCCACCACCCTATTTGTGAACCAGTTCCTTCCTATCTCCCTCCTAAACCTAAACTTCAACCAACTTGAATCCGTTGCTCCGAGTCCTATCCTGCTCGGTTATTATAAGAACTTTATCTATATCCCCTTTATTGATTCCTTTCACCCACTTAAATACTTCTATCATATCTCCCCGCACTCTTCGTCTTTCTAGGGAATGCAAGTTTAGTTTCTTTAACCTATCCTGATATGGAAGGTTTCTAAGTCCCGGAATCATTTTCGTCATTCTTCGCTGCACCGACTCTAGTGAATTGATATTCATTCTATATAATAAAGGCACCAGAACTGAACCGCATAATCGAGGTGTGGCCTGACTAGTGCAAGATATAGTTGCAATAAAACCTCTGCACTCTTATTACTTACACTTCTAGATATGAAACCCAATACTCTGTTTGCCTTATTTCGAACATTAACGCACTGTTTTCTAGGCCGTAGGTCCGGGCTTACAAGTACCCCTAAGTCTCTTTCACGAGTCGACTTCTCTAGGTTGATGTTGTTAAGGCTGTATACATTGACAGTATTTGTTCTTCCAATACAATCAGTAACATACATCTGTCGTTATCTGTCAGTTGTTTAATATTTTTAAGGTTAATTTCTGTCATAAGGTGTCAAGTATCAGTGTCATACGGTGTCAAGTCACATTGGTGTCATGGTGTCAAGTCTCAGTGCCTTATGGTGTCAAGTCTCATTGGTGTCATATGGTGTCAGGTCTCAGTGTCATACGGTGTCAAGTCTCAGTGTCATATGGTGTCAAGTCTCAGTGTTATATGGTGTCAAGTCTTAGTGTCATATGGTGTCAAGGCTCAGTGTTATATGGTGTCAAGTCTCAGTGTTATATGGTGTCAAGTCTTAGTGTGTACTCAAGTGTTACGTCCACCTTAAGTGCACTCACACCACTAGGCTCAAGAGGCAGTGAAGAGGGTCTTGGAAGTGATGGACACTCAACTACCTAATTTCGAGGAGGAGCTGCTGAAGGAGTTGAGTATAAAGGACAAGGTCGACCTCCTCCTTCAAAGAGCACAAAACACCGTCACACCCACTACTGTCTCCAAACAATACGTCAGGTTGTCTGTAAGTAGCGATGGATAATAATAATAATAATAATAATAATAATAATAATAATAATAATAATAATAATAACGGAAATGATTGACATAAGTTATGAAGTTGACAGACGTGAACAATAAACCGACTGTCTACATATAGTTTGAGAATGACATACCACCAACAGATATTTTAGATTGTCATTCGATATGTGTTCTGTCATTCGGTTATGAAATTTGTCAAATAGTTATGTAACAATGTCTCAACGGATATGTGAAAAGGTGCAACAACAACAACATCAGATAACTCTTCACAATGTTTCCTCCCCAAGTTCTTTCTCTACCCCATATTCTCCCAACATCCTGTCTCCATATTCTTTCCTCCCCTCTCTCTCCCCCACCCTAGGACTCCTCCCCACCCCTCCCCATAACTCTTCACCATACTCCTCCCTCTATCCACCACGCCAGGCTGATGACATGAGGACAAGTCCCAACAAAATGAAGAAAATCCTACAGACAGGGAGGCTGTTTGCTGTACAGGCTTCCCGCAGCAACAGGTCAGCTGAGGTTTTGATGAGTGAAGGACGCCTCTGTGTACATGTTCTACAGGATGTCACCCCACCTCCTGATGCCTATGTTATTGATGTGAGTTATCTGAAGGATATCTTTTTTTTTATCTGGTTGGTTTGGGTTAGAGTAGGGTCGGGTCGGGTCGGGTCGGGTCGGGTCGGGTCGAAATTCACACATCTCTAAGGTGGTTCAGCGCTGTCACCAACATGTCGTCCTGCCAAACAGCCAATATGTTACTGGGAGTGCCACCTGTAGGACCTCTGAGACGACGAGTGCCACCTACCCTAACCTCACTTAACCTCACCTCACCTAACCTAACCTAACCTCACCTAACCTAACCACACCTAACCTAACCTAAGCTCACTTTAACCTCACCTCACCTCACCTCACCTAACCTAACCTAACCTAACCTAACCTAACCTCACCTTACCTAACTTTAAGTGTTGGTCTGGTTATTTTATGTTGGGTTAGGTTAGGTTCTTTTAGGTCAGGCCAGGTCAAGTTAGGATTGGTAAATATATATAAAACCAGGTCAAGCTGGGTAGGTTCATGTATAGGTCGGATGGATATATGAGCGACAGGGGTTGGGTGTAAACGGGACTGCCTAGTATGGTCAGGTAAATTAGGCTAGGGAAGGATAGGTTAGGTTAGGTTAGGTTAGGTTAGGTTAGGTTAGGTTAGGTTAGGTTAGGTCAAGTCAGGTCAGTTCGAATTGTCTGAGAAGTGTTTGGTTACGTTGTCTTGATTTTTTAGCATTTCCCCTTCAACATTTTATCATGCAAGAGTAAATCATCCCACACAAACTGACCTTTCATCTCATCTTCCGTCCCCGCCGTCGACAGTATAACGAGGTGATGACCCTGGTGAAGGCCTCTCCAACACTGGCTTTCCTGGACCTAAGATGGACCGCGTCAGCAGGAGGGAGAGTGTACATTAACGTCAACCCTTACACTGGTAGAGGGAATCAGTTTCTCCTGTTGTGTATGGGAGAAAAAGGTCCTTCATACGCCGACGCAGTCATCATCAATGTGGGGAACGAGGGGGAAGCCGGGGAGTTTGTGAGGTGTGGGGATTATGAGAGGAACAATGGATCAGGTGGTGCAGCCATCGTCGAGGACTTGGAAGTTAGAGGTATATACGAGAAGCCCTTGACGGCGGGGACTGTAGCTGGCTGGTGGTGGAGTGACGAGAAAATCCCGACTGCCCAGTTTACCATCACCACTCGAGATGGTCCTGAGGGTAATCTATGCCCCACTGCCTTTGGTGAGGTGGTGAGTGGGCTGGAGGTGGTGAAGGAGGCGGTGAAATGTGTCAATCATTGCCAAGTGAATGTGGTAAGCTGTGGTGTTGTAGTGTCCCCCTGACTACATCACCAGGTCATAATATCAACCACCAAGAGTCACCATACTTGTATCTTATCACCATCCGTCATCACCATTTTTTTGTTACTCTGGTTCTCTCTCTCTCTCACCTTTCAAATCTTTATAATCCTCCGTTTACTTTCTATATTCTCACCATTTTTTTTACCATTGTGTCACTATCATTTCATTTCTACCATATCTTACTACCATATGGCACTTCAGGACGTTTCTAGCATATTTTAACATTCTCCCATTCTAATTCCCATAAACTTAATTGCAATCTGTGTTCACGTTTAAGATCCATGTATCAAATGTCACTCCAACTGAAACAATTCTATCTGTTGTATACAAATTCTGTGCTTCATGATCCTGGTAACTGAAGCACCTGAACCTGAGGACTTGTGCTCGGTGTGGCAAGATGAAGCACTTATACTGAAACGCAACAGTGTCACTCCTTCAAGTTACTGCAATACTTAAACAATAACTTACAATTACTTATGTATAATAAAAAATAATAAAATAATTAATTGTGAATTTATACCCTAAATTCAACATTCCAATATATAATAGTGTTTATATCAGTTAACGTTGAGTCTCGGTGTATTTCAGACGCCATTTTGGACTCTAACAAATAAAATTCTGTTCCAAATCTCAATCGGAAATTAAAAAGATTCTATAATTTAATTTTGTATCCGAAATGCTGTTAGTAAGACGCATTAGGTTAAGGTAGAGTATCAGTCTAGTTTGAACGCCATTTTGGATATTATCAGAAGACGAGAGGCAAGTAATCTGGGCACCTGACTTTACAGTTTGGGAAGTGAAGGGTGTCGAGTGCAGTGCTGAACGCTTAGTGTACAATGAAAGACAAAAGTCGTGTCGTGAAATTTGGTGAAAACATGGGTCGAAGGTCTAAACTTTTGGTGCGCTCTGCCTTGTGGTAGGGCTCTCATATGTTTCACGAGTTATATTTAATATTCGGACAAAACCGTGACACGACTTTTGACTTTGTACAGTGTGTTGTGTCCACCCTTGTCCTTAACGAGTCGTCACGCCGATGGGACCCACTTTCACTATCCTGACTAAGCATTATGTAATTGTCTGTCTTTCTGTCTGTCTGTCTGTCTGTCTGTTCATTAATTCCTCCTCTTGGGTATATACATTGAAGGTTGGTGATCACCTTAGCGGGGTCCTGGTGATCACTGGTATTGATGGTCTAGCTATAACAACACACACACACACACACACACACACACACACACACACACACACACACACACACACACGCAGGTCAACTGTTAAGTTGGCCCATACCAACCCCTTCCCCTGAACCCTCCTCCCCACCGGAATATCAACAAGTTCTCGCCAGAAGTTACAATTTCATTTAGGAAAGGAACGGAACCAGTGTTAAACAGAGGTGAACAGTGGTGAACAGTGCTTAAGTCAGTGAGAACAACTCAACAGTAACAGTCGTACCCAAGTTAACCTTCACACGGTGAGGTCCCAGGTACCCAGTGATAACGGCTCGTGAGACCCAACAACAGCCAGCGATGTGTTAATCCGTCTACGATAGGAAGGCTTAAGACCAAACCTCACTCATATAACACCATCTGTGAGGGAATTACTACACATGTCCCTCATAACACCATATGTGAGGGAATTACTACACCAGGTCAAGTCCCTCATCACACCATCTGTGAGGGAATTACTACACCACGTGAGGTCCCTCATAACACCATCTGTGAGGGAATTACTACACCACGTCAGGCCCCTCATAACACCATCTGTGAGGGAGTTACTACACCACGTGAGGCCCCTCATAACATCATGTGTAAGGTAATTACTACACCACGTGAGGTCCCTCATAACACCATCTGTGAGGGAATTACTACACCATGTGAGGCCCCTCATAACACCATCTGCGAGGGAATTACTACACCACGCCAGGTCCCTCATAACACCATCTGAGGGAACTACTACACCACGTGAGTTCCTCCAAACAACATCTGGGAGGGAGTTACTACACTACGAGTTTGCTGTTTAACACCTACATTAATCTGTATGTTCACTGTATGTTCCTTTACCTTTCTCTAATGAAGGCTTTTGTTAAACCACCAATGTATGTAATAAGTCATTTATGTCCAATGTATATTTTCAGCCTTCGGGCTGCAGAATTTTTTCAATAAACCGTTAATTATTATTATTATTATTATTATTACACACACCACGCAAAGTATGGATGACGTGGACACCAAATGGATAAACTACACCAACACCACCACGGAAGGTCACCACCACTTCTTCCTCGAGTAGTCCATCAGATCACACCCAGATGACTTACCCTGGATCACACCTCGGATCAAAAGACTTATGCAACAGAGAACCAGCGCCTTTTATCTCAACAATAAACGCTACAGGTCCCTTAGCATCCAACGGAAACACCTAGAAAAAGTACTCCACATATCAAGAAGCGCTCAACACACTGACCCACTGACCCCTCTCCTCTCTCTCTGATCATCACCACGACCTCATCTGCAAATTTTAGGGGGAAGTTTCTGCACCATTCTCTGTGCCGTTTCCTGCTCCTACCCGAAGTCCCTCGTCCCCGAATTGCTGTTCGACACTACAACTGCATCCAGCCTATACGAGCACCTACTGACCGCTATAAGAACAGCTCAGTCCCAACCATTTTAAAAATTATCAGCAACTCGTAGTTAACCAGTGTGTTCACTCCCAGCCAATCTTACTTTTGTATTATTAATTTGTTGAAATTCCCTTTTGAATGACCTCCCCACCTTATTATAAATAATTTGTATCACTTATGTTACTTGTATATTATTTATTAATTAAGTGACCCATTCGTCAATTATGAAACTTTCGTCATCTCTGCTGACCGCTGACCGTTAATTATTATTATTATTATTATTATTATCACACACACACACACACACACACACACACACACACACACACACACACACACACACACACACACACACACTTCACATTAATACAACTTTTCTGCTCTGTGTTGACCTCAAAGGATTGTATATTTCTCTTGCCCTACACTGCCTCCAGAAGTTAGCAGACACACCTTGAATTCTGTTGACGAGAGAGAGAGAGAGAGAGAGAGAGAGAGAGAGAGAGAGAGAGAGAGAGAGAGGCGCAAGTTGAAACACAAATTGCCCACATTTCCTTCCTCGCTCCTCCCCTCCCGTCTTCCAAGAGAAGAGAAATTGGCACAGAGTTGAAGACGCACTGTAAGGGTCAGTTGAAACTCTGCCTGGTCTTTCCATCTCAAAATAAAAGGGATTTGGCGATGATAATATTTGCAGGTGTGTTTAGATGTTGTGGGTGGGGTCTAGTTTTTACCTGGGCACGAGGAGGAGGGGCATGTGAGGAGGGAGGGGCACGAGGAGGAGGGGCATGTGAGGAGGGAGGGGCAAGTGAGGAGGGAGGGGCATGTGAGGAGGGAGGGGCATGTGAGGAGGGAGGGGCATGTGAGGAGGGAGGGGCAAGTGAGGAGGGAGGGGCAAGTGAGGAGGGAGGGGCAAGTGAGGAGGAGGGCAAGTAGGAGGGAGGGCATGTGAGGAGGGAGGGGCAAGTGAGGAGGGAGGAGCAAGAGGAGGAGGGGCATGTGAGGAGGGAGGCAAGGAGGAGGGGGCATGTGAGGAGGGAGGGGCAAGTGAGAATGGGGAACGTGGGGAGAGGGAGAGGGAAGGAGAGACATGTGAGGGGTTGAATGTGGGGGAAAACGATGTGGGAGGGGAAAGGGGGTGTGGGAGGGGGTGTGGGAGGGGGAATAAAGAGGGGGTGTTGTGAGAGACGGAGTGAAAAGTTCTTATAGTCAGTCAGTCACTCAGTCAGCTAATCAGTCAGTCAGTCAGTCACTCAGTCAGCTAATTAGTCAATCAGTCAGCTAATCAGTCAGTCAGTCAGTTAATCAGTCAGTCAGTCAGTTAATCAGTCAGTCAGTCAATCAGTCAGTCAGTCAGTTAATCAGTCAGTCAGTCAGTCAGTCAGTTAATCAGTCAGTCATTATAAGTGATAAGAAAAGTCAGATAGACCTTACACTAGATGGACGGTCGGGTGGATGAATAGACGGATTGACTTTAAGTGGATAGATGGATGGATGGATAAACGGTTAAGTGGATGAATGGGTGGATGGACGTTTGGGTGGGTGGATGGACGTTTGGGTGGGTGGATGGACGGATGGGTGGATGGATGGATGGATGGATGGATGGATGGATGGATGGATGGATGGATGGATGGATGGATGGATGGATGGATGGGTGGATGGATGGGTGGATGGATGGATATTTGATGTGTTATGTGTCACCTATGTATCGCCACACCTGTAATCAACACCATCTCGTTAAGTGAAAGATACAAAGGAGGGAATCTATCAGTGTTTACAATGGTGACGTACGATAGTTTTACCTGCTAATGGTGACGTACGATAGTTTTACCTGCTAATGGTGACGTACGATAGTTTTACCTGCTAATGGTGACGTACGATAGTTTTACCTGCTAATGGTGACGTACGATAGTTTTACCTGCTAATGGTGACGTACGATAGTTTTAATGCTAATGGTGACGTACCTGCTAATGGTGACGAACGAGTTTTACTATGGTGACTACCTGCTAATGGTGACGCACGATAGTTTTACTTACCAAAGGTGACGACGATAGTTTTACCTGCTAATGGTGACGTACGATAGTTACCTGCTAATGGTGACGTACGATAGTTTTACCTAATGGTGACGTACGATAGTTTTACCTGCTAATGGTGACGTACGATAGTTTTACCTGCTAATGGTGACGTACGATAGTTTTACCTCAATGGTGACGTACGATAGTTTTATTGCCAATGGTGACGCAATGATAGTTTTCCTGCTAATGGTGACGTACGATAGTTTTACACTGCTAATGGTGACGTACGATAGTTTACCTGCTAACAGATGTACGATAAGATTTACCTTGCCAATGGTGACGTACGATAGATTTGCTTGCAATGGTGACGTACGATAGTTTTACCTGCTAATGGTGACGTACGATAGTTTTACTGCTAATGGTGACGATAGTTTTACCTGCTAATGGTGACGTACGATAGTTTTACCTGCTAATGGTGACGTACGATAGTTTTACCTGCTAATGGTGACGTACGATAGTTTTACCTGCTAATGGTGACGTACGATAATTTTACCTGCTAATGGTGACGTGCGATAGTTTTAACTCCCTAAAATACGAGACTTAGAACTCATATAACTGACAACAATAGTCTTACGATATAATGACAGATTCTCAAAGGAACCTCAAGTCAAATTTTATTCGTACTTGAATCATCTGAAAAAGAGTGTGTGTGTGTGTGTGTGTGTGTGTGTGTGTGTGTGTGTAGGTGTGTGCGTTAAATTGCCGACACACAGACACACACACACACACGATAATGGCCCTCTGAACTTTAGGGATAGTCGGCATTGAAGCCACTAGACTGTGAAAGTGGTTAAAGGTGTAGAAAATGCCGCC